TGCTCGATTTGTTCCTTTTCTTCTTCCCAAGTGAGTGAATTCGTCCCCATATGTCTACCGCGGAAAGTACCTAGTTTAACCGACCTAGGTTGGATCCGGTCCACGGGTCGAGAAAATCGCAACGGCGCTTTTTCTCGCAGAGCCATAGCTGTAATTTTATAAAAAAAAATTGAAAATTCGGTGTAATTTTCCTGCAGGACGTGGTGACTCAGAAGAAGATGCTGAGAAGAATTTGTGGGCGAGGAATGAATAGTTGAAAATTCAATCGAATGCGGATGACTGAGGCCTGATGAAGTACCAGTCGTACCTCACCAGTGCACAATCATCGCATTAGACTGAACCACCAGACCTTACCACAGGATCGGGTTAGAGTAGGGTCAACACGAGATCATGGGGGAGTCTGAAGAAGCAGCCAGGTTGACAAGCCGAACATGGAGGTAAGCCGATTCCAGTGAAGCAGGGAGAATCGATAGCCGCTGATCAGTGTGGAAGGCGATCGGGTTGTAGAAAGAAGACGAAGATAAGATGTGCAGCGGTCGATGACAGGTGGAGTACGTTGACGCGAAACGCCAATCCGATGCGTCGCCAAAAACCGGCCGTCATGCCATCTTATCGGTCCCAAGACGAGACATCTTGAAGAAGGCACGAATAGCTTCGACCTTTCTCCTTAGCCATCAAAGAGCTCTAATCAGAACCCATAGGAAACAATCATAAATGTACAGAATGCAACAACTGTCCAGAAGTTTTTCCTGCTAGCCGAAAAGAACGGTGGTGCATTCTCAACAATGGCCGTCAGAATAGAGGCGCTGTCGCTGAAGACGGCTGTGACAGAGAGAAGAGCTGATAGTGTGCTGAAAGCTACAAAAAGACAAGGAGAATGGCGACCGAAATGAGGCTGTCATTCATGGGCTTCAGCTCAGCAAGACAAAGTACTAATACTTGAAACAAAAGCAGAAAAAAATGGCGTCAGATCGCTGCGATTTCTGGGGCTGAAACTCCATGCTGCTCCTTTTTGCACCGATTTAGACGAGGATTTTGACTTACTATTCGAACGATCTGATTTCAAAACTGACAGCAGTATCACACAGTAGCATGCGGCGCCGATGCCGATGTCAACTCTTGGAACAACCCTTATTTGGACCGACCAAGCCCTCCAACTTTGGATCAACCTTGTGTTAGGCTAACCAAAGCCTTCATCACGGATCGTCCTGACTACGATGAGATGCGGAAAAAACTCAACACCGCGTTGTCTCGGCGGTCATGTTAAAGGAAGCGATTACGATAAGGAATTTTCGCATCGGGGGAGAACCTGCGCCACACGGAGCAATTACTTGGCTGCCAAGGAAGCGATGTGTGGTCCTCCCACGGCGAAAGGTGCTGTGGTTGCTGAGCAGGACCCGCGTGACGCCCGCCCCCAGTGACGTGACGCCCACTAGTTCTGTTGATGATCTGGATGGACTGTTTGCTGTTGGCTTTTCATTTTGGATGATCATTTCCCTTCTAGCGGCTGTATCTTCCAACTTGCCCACGTATTGCCTTATCAATCAAAACACTATGCTTGTTGGCATGGCGGCTATCGGGGTTAACACGTCCGAACAACGTCAGTCTTTACCGTCGCTCATCCATGATCGAAAATGAAAGGGCAATCAAAGGGGCACTATTTTGCTTATTTTTGACGGATTTCTTTGCTTTTTTCGCCACTGATGTACTATTGAGACCTTCCCTATTCCCCTTTCAAAACCCCTAAAGAATCTATCGTAACTCGCTGCCTTCAAGTTTTTGTGTAGGTTATGTTCGGCTGCCAACAATACCTAACCATATGGGCGCGGCCGCGGCGAACGCGAGCCGAGTCGATTGTGCCCGCGAACCGTTGAAAACGCACTCGAGGTGCCCGCGAACTGTGCTGTGCTGAGTTCGCGGGCACCTATCAACTCGGCCCGCGTTCGCCCGGCCGCGCCCAAGTGGTTAGGTATTGTCTGGGGATGCGGTTATGTACACCTCAGTACCACACGGATTTCAAAGAAAGACATTCCGTGGCTTCGCCCAAAATAGTGAGCAAATGGTCAATTTTTTTCAATTCATTTTGAGAGAAGAGCTGATCACGATGGTTGAAGGCCGGTGGCTTACGATGAGATCAGCTGAAGGCGATGCGTAAACTAAACGTCGCTAACCGCGCTGGGGGTGTGGTTTAGATAGAGTCATAACTATTATCCGCCAATGATGTTCAGTGGCGTCCTCAATAATGCCCCGCCTCCAACATTGAGAACACTGCCCTTAACTTATCCTTCAGCAGAAAAGTTCGTAAATCGCATGCAGATCAGTTGCAGCACATAGCACATCTTAATAGCCATTTTTGCTAATGATCAAAATTGCGAAGCAATGGACCATCACTTGAAGCAGGTAGTAACTACCCAGACGGCGAATGATGATGACATCACGTGCTTGCTAAGTGAATGGTTTGGGGCCAAGGAAACCTAGCTGTTTAGGTTTCCCGCTGGAATCATTCAACGGTTCAATAATGGTAGAAGACAGGAACACAAGAGTCAGTATTTCACTCAGAGCTTAACGGCACAAAACTGGCGTCAAAGATAGCGTAAGATGCATACACTGCCCAGTCAATTTTGAACCAGCACATCATTACGACGCAGACTGCTCACTTGACAATTAACGGCGGTGTTTCCCCCAAGGGGAGGTCCATCTGCGCGCGGCGAAGGAAAGAGACGCAGATGCGGCAAAGGACGAGTCGCAGCGCGTGCTGTGCGATATGAGACGTAGTATGGTACACTCTCTTTAACCTGACGCCTAACCGCTACAGTATGCGCTGCGACTCGTCCTTTGCCGCGTCTGCGTCTCTTCCTTCGCCGCGCGATGGGCCTCTTGGGGGACACCCACACTTACTCTTACCCGTGCCGAGTCCGTACTCAACTGCTAGCCCAAAATCATCACCTCAATTTTGAGCATTGCAATATCATTACCCGCATCCTCTTAGCCACACTACAACATGTACCTACCTTGCGAAGGCTATCGATACAATGAACTACATGTCTGCTACACCGTGCTGTGACACCACAATAGCCAAGCCTACTGCTTACCCAAAACTTGGACGGCAATGTGTGAAGTTTGGGCAAGAGTAAGTTTTGATGAGCGTCAGTAAACAACTGTAGAGATACAATGGGGGTCCCCCAAGGCCCACCGCGCGGCGAAGCAAGAGACGCAGATGCGGCAAAGAGACGAGTTGCAGCGCGTGCTGTGCGATATGAGACGTAGTATGGTACACTCTCTTTAACCTGACGCCTAACCGCTACAGTATGCGCTGCGACTCGTCCCTTTGCCGCGTCTGCGTCTCTTCCTTCGCCGCGCGGTGGGCCTGTTGGGGGACACTCCAAACGTCTGTACTCAACAAAGCCATCAATTTTATTTGATTTAGTTGGCATTTTTTAATTGTCCGCGACTGTTTGCATTCATTTTCAGAACCGGAAAAACAATATCTGTCATCAGTGAAGAAAATGTTGATAAATTAATGATTAATCAGAAAAAAAAGATGAAAAAAATCGAAAACAAGGGGGTGACCGGCATGAGAACAGTGCGATCTGCGTTCTTAAAAGTTCGTATAGAACCAGTGGAGAAAGATGAAAAGTGCATTTATGAGCACACACCTGTGCAGCATTCAAACTGCTGCAGCTGGTGTGAACGTCATCCAATCAAACACAGCCACTGGAAAAGGGGGTACAAGCGTTTCTGTCAACAGGGCGCGCAGAGTGTAGAAGGTAAAAAGCGGGACGTTCTTATTGAGTAGCGGGACGTAAAGAAAGCGGCAGATTTGCTGTAATAGTCCCGCTTCGGTGAGAGCTCCAGAACAGCACAAACATAAAACCGTGAATTGCCTAGCCTTCGATTGACAGGTATGTCCGGAGACACAGAAATGGCATGGCTTTACAAGGATCGATAATTCCAAATGCCGACATTTCTCTCAAAAATTGACCAAGCATGTAGGACAACAAAATAAGCTAAAAGCGATGAAAAAGCCAACGGTTCCGCTCTGCCTTGTTCAATGGTAACTGTTCAATTATACAGTTAAATTTACAATCGATTTATGCTGCCAGGACAGACATCACACAATATTCACATAATAAACAATAAATACGACCTGAGACAATAGGTCCTTCTCGTCAGACTATTCCTCGTTATAAATATCACAAATAAATCGGTCATATCACACGGTCTTTATCGACTTCGTCTATCATTTAAACATATTGCTAGCCCTTCTTGTCAACCATAAAAATCAACAAATAACAGCTATGGCGGGCATTCAGGGGATGCACTCCAGCGAACACCCGAAAAATCGGAGCGCAGCATTAAATGCACATAATATTGAAATATGCTTTGGTAGAACAAAAAAAAAGTCTTTATTCGTAATAACTTCGTATAGCATGCATAAAATTACTAGCAGCATTGCAAACTGATTTTATACAAATTCTAGCGATTCTGAGCAGAACCACACGTCTCCTCAGTTCTTTTAAGCATTCTCTCTAATACCTCGTAAATAATTACAGGCTTTTGGAAGTCATTGTCCACCAAGTTGAGTAGGAAGAACTCGTCATGAATCTTTTGAATAACCTTGCGCGATACTGAATCCTTTGGATAAATGGTAGCCCTGAAATAGAACATAGACCAGGTATCTCGAAGGGTCCACGGCATTTGCTCAGTTGCTGAAGGAATAGTCCAAACGCGCTTTCGCAAGATACGGGGCATCTTCTAGGACTAAGCTTAGGGAAGGGCAGGAACTTCGGGGAAAGTTTTAACAAAAAAGATGTTTTACGTGGTTTCTGATGCATTACCACCACAATGCCCCCGTATCTTGCGATAGCGCCCAGTAAAAATGATGATCTGAAGCAATTCGTACCAGTTCTTGATCCATGCATCATACGCTTCGTCCTTCCACGCACGGAACGCCAAGGGATCCACAACTGTCGGTTGGGCGATTTCCGATCCAGGGAAAACACCCCATGTAACAGCAATCGGAGTTGTTTGCTCACCGTTCATACGATCGAATGAACCCTAAATTCTCTCCATGGATCGGATCGAATTAGAACAGAAAGCAGCTCGGATCGAAAGCAACAAATCGTTGACACCGTCCTACGTGTGTCTCCGTATCTCATTTTTCATATTTTTGTAAACAAGCATTCATCTAACAACAATTTCACCTGCATTCAGGCTGAAAATAGTTACCGAAAGTTATCACGAATAGTAGTCTACACTTGCAGTGTACTTCAACCGCAACACAATATCATCAAGTGCATCGAAACTTCTAAGAAGACTAGGGTATTGAGAAAAGGCGGCAATGCGAACCGAATCCTCCCTTCCCCCTCACGGAATTTTCGGTACGACCACTTTTTCCATGATCAGTGCAAGCCCTGGCGTTGATGGCGGCAATATAGCGTCGAAGACCCTGTTACTACTGTTGCTACCTGATACACTCACCAATTCCTGTCCCGGCCCCAAAAGGGATGGGGAAAGGGAAA